AAAGATTGCGAGCTCAGAACCTAAATTGAGGCCGCAAATAGAAAGAAAATAAGTACGCACGAAAGAAATGGATTCTTTCTGATTCTTGAAATAATGGAAACGAGAAGGGTTGAATTTTCAGGGTGAGACCCTCAAACGTGCATACATTCTGGAGAATTTGTTTGTTTTTTCGATTTTATCATTTCTCGTTCTCTCTCTGCTCGTTGTCTAATTTTTCCAACATTTCCTTATATTCCGCGAAAAACTCCATGTCATCAACTGAAAGTCTGTTTGCATGAGGCGGGAGAAGAGATTCGATTTATTTATTGTTTTCATTTTTCTCATTTTCTCGAGTCTCTTTTTCATTTCGTTTGACAAATAAGGCCAAAAAGCAATGCTTTGGTCTAAAGAGGAAATAAGATAATTGGCACTTTTTGTCTCCGTTTATGTTAAAGTTTTGGCACACATCCTTTGATTTTAGGAGTTTAGAATATCTTGAGCACTCACGCGAAATCTTTATACTCCGTTTCAATTTTGCATTCAACCAATATGCAATATGTTCAAATAAAAATAATGTTACAAACTAAACTCGAAATCTTTATACTCCGTTTCAATTTTGCATTCAACCAATATGCAATATGTTCAAATAAAAATAATGTTACAAACTAAACTCGAAATCTTTATACTCCGTTTCAATTTTGCATTCAACCAATATGCAATATGTTCAAATAAAAATAATGTTACAAACTAAACTGAGTGTGGAGTACACGAGAATCCCATGAATTTTGAAGTATTCAATTCTTACAATATGAACTAAGTATCAGTTCTTACAATATGAACTAAAAATGAAAATCACATTACAATGTTAACCAAAAGACTAAAAATTACGATCTTAAGCGGAAAGACTAAAAGGCGAGATGAGAAAATTTCTTTTTGCAAGACAAATATGTCACATATAGTATTGATTATGTTGAAATCTATGCGTCTTGTCCCCATAAATGCAAAGATAAACGTCTCGAAGGCTATAGCACACCAAACTTTCGAGCTCCGGCTAACTTGAATGGAGTCGAGAACTGAGCATTGCATGTATGATGCGTGAGGCTATTAGTAAGGAGTAAATATGCAGATGTATGTTCAGTGTGTTTGTTGCAGCCTAATAACTCCTATTTATAGAATTCCAACTGAGGCAGGGGAAGCCATGAGTCAGCTGCCACTTAAGGCTGGTAACAGCCCAATGGCATATGTTGTTAAGGGCATCAAAGTAGTCAGACCGTTTTCAAATGTTAACACATCACTACTCCACCTGATAAGATCTGAAAGGGTCAAGTGGAGTCAATCAAGTCTAGATACAATGTATCTGGAGAGGTCTCTCATGGGTAGGGTCAAAACTCGAGTCCAAATCCAACTCGGTTTTGATTTCATTTTGGGCCACAATTTGGCAAATAAATTTGTTGCAGAATGATTATAAGGACTGGGCTCGAGGCCCAAGCCCAACACTGGCCCAAACCGTCGAAGGCCAGTCCGCAGTCCAATTATCAAGTACCAAGACCCAAGACCAAGGCTTGTGCCCGTGCAGAGCCGATCCGGCCGGCCAACCTATTGGTGCGCACGCGTGTAGCTGAAGCCATCACCAACGTTTGGTGCATAGTTTTGTTGTCGTTGTTGTGTTCTTTGATTTTTTTTGTTGAGTCTTGAGAATTCAAAACAATGGTGTTGTTCGTCGAAGGCTTGTATATTCGAAATATCATTATATACAAGTCAAAAGTCGTTGTATCTTGGAGGCGTTTGTCGTTAACCGTAGGTATTTTACGGGGCGATATCGTCTTAAGGAGAAAGTAACTGTTATGTGCATCAACTTTGATTTTGCATTTCTCCTTGATAATCACAAACAAAACACAAACTACATTAGCATCATCGTTGAAGGTTTACATAGATCCATAATAGAAATGCAATGTTCAAACTTCAAAGGTGCACAAAGAGCTTCAAATTTCAGTTGTATTGATAATCGTCATGAAAGATTGTATAGCTGCTCCTCCTGCTCCTTGCTTCTCTATCAGCCTGCACTCCACCAAATTAATATACAAAAAACAAGTACTAATTAATTAGACTAATATAGGCTATAAAATTGTTTCGTGGGAAATGACCTATTTGACCCTATTTAAAAAAGTGGCATGCATACTTCTATACATAGCAACTTTATTATTCTTTATTTTTCTATATTTCTTGGTCTTGTGAGTCAAAATGGGCGACACATTTTTGCCCTAAAATAATATTTAAAATAAAATAATTAAAATTTAATATGATGTAAAAGTAAGAGAAAAATGATTGGAAGTAGTAGTTAGTTAAAATTATGTGAGTGGATAAATAGTGAATTAAAATTGATGTGATGTATAATAATAATTAGTTGAATGATTATTTGATGTTATTTAATTATATCGATAATATTGAAAATAGTGGAGTTGAGTTAATTTTGAGTTAAATTTGAGTTTTGATTGATTTTTTTTTTAGAGTAAATTGATAAACAATCACCCCCTTAGTAATCCACAAGACCACAAAAGACCGTTACTTGTGTTATCTCACCAATATATTCAATGAAAATCCATAATTAAAACATTAATAAGAATTACCCTAGCAATGAGTCTCTCAAAGGCTTCAGGTCCGTTTTCTTCTATGTATTTCTCAGCAGCGGTCAAGACATCATCAGGCTTCCTAAAAATGTCCATTTTCCTGGGAACATACCACAGTTTAATCTGTGGGTTTTTGTAGAAAGGCCTTATAAAATGCTCGTATACATATGCTGCCCCGTTGAAGTAAGGTAACACCAACCAGCACACGCCGATTAATTTCGCGTACGACCAAATCGGGAACCTAATGATTATGATCAATATATTCAAGAAATTAATTATCAATTTATTTCTTTCAATAAAATGGGTCGCATAATTTATTATTTTGCTGTTAATTAATGCTCTGTATATGAATAACTATGGGGAAGAAACAATTGTTATCTCAATTTTGAAAGAAAATAATAATTAAATAAAAATCAAATCTCTAGCTCGAATAAAGCTAATTAATTGCCTGAAAATTTCAAATGAAAAAGTCCAACCAAGACAAATGAAGGACTTTTTATATCTTTGACCAAAGGTCCAAAATTTGGGATCTTTTTGGATAATGTTTGCAAGTAAGTAGACTTGTACAGTAGCTGGAGTTGTGANTTGGAGAATGTAAGCTCAAATAAGGTAATGAGAGAGTAAAGAACCCAATATGTAAGCCATTGTTGGTCATCTGCCAGGGATTTTGTCTCTATGGCCTTGATGGAACAATATCTGTCAATTAATAATAATTTAAAGGCGTAATTAATAATTCTCAAAAAAGAAAAAAAAAATCAACCAATAAAAAAAAAAGAGAGAAATATCTCACTTACAGAGGAAAAACAAGAGAGACCAGAGGCCTGGTGATCAAATTAAGATACAACAAATCAGCACAATACTATAACTTGTCGATGTCAGTTCTTACGAGAAAATTAAAAAGATTAAAACTTTTGTTTGATTACACTTACATTGCAAGAACATCAATGTTCTTTGCCACAACTGTGAATACATTATCTCCTGAGCCCATTTTTGAAGTTTTTTTTGCCTTAAATTCACCTGTGATGGCTTTCCAGCTTGAAGATGGTGAAAAATGGTGCTAAGTAGTAAGTGGGAATTGGGTATTATATTTGGGGTAATTAAAAAAACAAGAAAAGGTGTGTGAAAAGGGGGAATTATAAAAAGTCATTTGAAAAGGTGGGCCTTGAGGCTTATATAAAAGGTGCTTTAGAAAGAAAAATGGGGGTCCAAATTTATGGAGAATCTTATTTTTCTATTTGCACCAAGAAAGAGGCACCGAATTTTGACTAATGCACACATATCCGAGGATTAATTTAATTTTTTTTTAATTTTTTTGTATTTTTAATAAATTTCTTGTGCTTGGAAATACTGTATTTTATAAGAGAGCATGCATGTCTAAATGCAAAGAGAACTGAATAAATTTTAAATGTAATGCATGTTTTATAGATCTATACCATCATTGCACAATTCAAAGTAATCCCATAAACAGGGGCGTAGCCAGGAATGAAAAACACCCTGGGCTAACCACCGATAAAGCTACAACTTAAATGTAGAATTGAGTTGTTTGCTAATATTTTTGTTGTAATTTTCAATGAAATCCGCTAAATATTTTTGAAATCGTTGAAATCCAACAAAAATTTCAATGAAAAACTCGATCCAACGAAATATTTTAGTTGTAATTTTCGTAGGAATCAGTTGAAAATTTTTAATGAAAATAATAGCATTGGAATATCCACCGGAATTGTCATTGAATTTTCATTAGAATATATTTCTGTTGAAATATTTTGTTGAAATTTGATCATTTTTTTATAGTGTATCTTGCAATTTTTAAAATTAAATATTTTGTTAAAATCATATTAATGCATTTTTTATATATAATACAATAGACTGTAAATTTTTATAGAGTAAAGACAAAAACACGAAAAAAAAAATATATATATATAAAAGTGTAACAAGTTTCTTTTGAAAATTAAACAAAAAAAACCATATTGTATACAATTATATATTTATTTGTGACCACCACTAGATAAAATACGGATGTGTGTGGATAATGAAATAAAAAATGAGACAATAATGTGATAGAAAGATATACTGTGGGTATGTAATAAAACTCGCATGAACTTACCAATTCATTTGGTAAAATATAACATCACATGATCCAAATCCAAATTGGGCTATTCTTATTCATATTCATATGGGCTATTCCCTTTTAAAACCAATTTATATACACACACTAAATCACACTGTAATGGCATATACTTAGTTTTTGGACATTCTTATAGCAAAAAAAATTATATAGTTCCACTCCCTTTTAAAACCAATTTATATACACACACTAAATCACACTGTAATGGTATATACTTAGTTTTTGGACATTCTTATAGCAAAAAAAATTATATAGTTCCACTGACATCAGTTTATTCAGTTCACCTTTTCTCAAGGTGAATTAAAGTACTCAAGCAGATTAGAAGAACTATTGGTAAGGATCTATGTTAGCTAAGGAATCACAAAATCAGCATATATAATACGGGCACATAAATTGAAACAAAAGAACCAAACTCAAATAAAGAGGGAAAATACAAGGATGTCCTAAGACTGGTGGTCAAAAACTCACATAAATTGGATGGTTGTTTGCTTGGTACTCCAAAGATTGCTTCATAAGCTAACAAAAGAAGAACGTGTCAAGTATGTCATCTTCACAATACTGAAAGCAATTTAATGTATTTCCACTTTTTTAAACAGAGTACAAACTTATATCCAATGAACTTTTCTTTCGTCCAACATATTGGAACGAGAGTTGTATCAAACACATCTCTATTTCCCCCACCTTCTACATATCAGTTAGATACACCTCCTATATCACAAACTCTTCCTACCCCCACTATATCACAGAATAACCCTCCAACCTCTTCCCCTATATTGAATAATTCAATCACCAATTCCCCTACATTGAATCAATCTCAACCCATTCCCAAGGGGCATACGACAAACTAACCTCATCCCACTTCTCCAACCACCACATTGAGAAGATCAACCATGTTCAGACAACCTCCTTCATATCTGAACATTTACAAACATTCTCTCTCACATTCTTCTAATCTTTCCTTCAGTGATTCACAAAAAGACACACCTGGAACAATTTTTCATCCCATTCAAAATCATGTATCCACTGAAAAATTGAATAAATCTCATTCATGTTTTACTGCTTCAATAGGTTTAATTCTTGAACCAAGAACATACAAGCAGGCTGTTAAGGACCATAATTGGCAAGAAGCCATGTCCTTAGAACTAGGTGCCTTAGAGAAAACAAGTACTTCGGTTTTAACTAATCTTCCACCTGGTAAGCATTGTATATGATGTAAATGGGTGTACAAGGTCAAATATAACTCAGATGGTGCTCTAGGTAGGTATAAAGCTAGACTTGTAGCCAAAGGTTACACACAAGAAGAAGAAAATGATTATTTTGACACCTTATCTCCTGTTGCTAAGATCACTATTGTTAGAACCTTGCTTGCTATTGCTTCTATCAAAAATTGGTTTTTGTATCAACTTGATATCAACAATGCTTTCTTGCATAGTGATTTTAATGAAGATATATATATGTTTCCACCCCCTAGATATGTTGATACTCATTCAAATAAAGTTTGCAAATTGATAAAGAGTTTATATACAATGGTTTCAAAAGCTGACTTCTTGCTTATTGAATTTTGGTTATATTCAATCTTCTCTTGATTGTAGCTTTCTTTATTAAACATTCTGGTGAATCTTTTACTTCACTATTGGTTTATGTGGATGACATCATTTTAGCTGGCAATAACATGAATGAGATCAATCTGTTAAACATCAATTACATGATTGTTTCACTACCAAAGACCTAGGCCAGCTCAAGTATATCTTAGGCATAAAAATTTCTCAATCTGATCATGGAATTAATCTCTGTCAAAGAAAATATGCTTTGAATATACTGCATGATACTAAATATTATGATTCTAAACCTGCCAATACTCCCATGGGTTTTAGCTTGAAACTTACTTGTGTTATATCTTATGGTTGTGCCCTAGTTGATGCCACTTCCTATAGACAATTAATAGGAAGGTTATTATATCTCACAATAACTAGGTCTGACCTTTCTTACTGAATACAAGCTCTAAGTCAACATATGGCTGCTCCCACTCAACAACACCTCACATCAACTCATAGGGTGCTCAGGTGTTTAAAAAGCACAGTTGGTAAAGGTATTCTGTATCCCAGACCCTCTCCCTTATCTTTACATGCTTTTTCAGATAGTGATTGAGTTGGTTGTGTGGACACTAGAAGAAGTGTTACTGGTTATGCATTTTTTCTTGGTTCATCTTAATTTCATGGAAATCTAAGAAACAACAGAATGTAAGCAGATCATCTGTTGAATCTGAATATAGAGCCCTTGCATCTACTATATGTGAAGCACAATGGTTACTATATTATTAGTTGATTTACAGATTCCTCATGCTTTTCCTGTTACCATTTTTTCAGATAGTAAATCTGCAGTTGCCCTAGCTAACAACCCCATTCAGCATGAAAGGACCAAGCACATCGAAATAGACTGTCACCTAGTGAGAGAGAAGCTGGCTAGCGGCATTATTGATCTCAAGTTTGTGCCATCTCAAGAACAAGTTGTTGATATATTAACAAAACCACTTGTCAAGGCTTCAACATTAACGTGTCCAAGATGAGCATGATTAACATCCATGCTCCTCTGGGGGGGAGGGGGGTGTTAGACTACATATTTGTATTAATTTGGAGAAACACGCTTTTGTACATTAGCACTTTTACCTTATTGTACTTAGAGTATAAGTACCTAAACCATCGGTGTATTAGGTCATTCATTCATTCTGTACACTTTTACATAAAGCAATATTATTTTCTCTCGCTTTCCGTTCTTCATCTCTCTCTCGATCCGTTCATCTTCTATACACAAATTTGTTCTTCAGATTATTAACACTAAGACACTCAATATCTTATTTGTTGTTTTCTATAAAGTATGTGTTTTTGACAATTTTAAATTCAAATTCAAATTCCAGGTGTAATACACAAGTTCTAGTTTTGGCCCGACCAATCTCTGAACCGACAAGATGACAAATTTTTTCAAAAGAACTGGAATCTGCCCGACCAAAACCACATATCTGAAACCCATTGTCAATGGTGTATTTAGAACGATCAACGAACCCTGATCCAATGGTTAGCGGGACAACCCGACTCAATAGCCATGACTAGATGCATGTTGTTAAAAAAATCTATATATATATATTTGTTGGCTCATGAGCATTTAATAAAATCTATTAAATTATACCGCAATATAACTTTTTCCTTCAAAAAACCGTTACTTTTTATTTATTTAACATCTCATTTAATTATTAGATAATCAACACACTAATCACTTCAAAATTACAAATATCATTTTAAACTTTTGATTTTACTTACAGTTAACCATATAATGTGTTGAATATTTAACGTGATTAGATGTTATTGTTGTGGTTACATTTAAATGAACTTCTCTTGGAAAATAAAAAACGTATTTGAAATTCTTAAACAAAAAATAAATAATTCACAAAAAAATACATACTAAAATATGCATTACATCTAATATGATAAATGCAATTTAAAAGAATAAATATTTCAGCTCATTTAATTGTAAATTTGACTTGTAAAAAAGTACAAAAAAATTATTAATCTTATATGCATAGAAATAACTCACAATACTTTATTTATATATGTGTAAATGCACATGTCCGTAAGAAATAAACAAGAAAAGGAGAGAAATTGTATGTTTTATGCCGGCGTTGGTGTGTGGTGTGACCCGGAGACCATAGATTGCAATTAAATATATAGATAGATATAGAAGTTCAAAGAAAAAAAAAAATGTAAGACGGCATGTAATTTTCTCTATTGTTTATTTGACACTACATAAATTTTATTTTATATAAATTTTCAGCCAAATTTATGAACACTGGTCCCGCTTTCTAGTTTTCTTTATCAATTGAACTTTGCGGGTTTCCTTTTCTTCATTTTCGATTTTGTTAGAAATTCATTGCAGTTTAAAATTCATCTCTCTTATTCTTTTCCTGGTTGTTTTGTTCATCAGATTAAGAAGTTTGTAAGAAAAAATAAATGTATATGCATTAATGTATATATAGTTCAAAGTATATTAAGAAAAAAAAAATAATAATGGTCAAGGTAAACACGGATGGCTCGTTCATTCGGGCTTCTGGTATGGCGTCGGCGGGAGGACTCGTGAGGGATGGAAATGGTAATTGGCTGGGGGGCTTCGTAATGAACATTGGCTATACTACCATCACAGGGGCAGAACTATGGGGCCTGTTTCAAGGTCTCACGCTAGCATGGGATTTAGGGTATCGCAACGTGATTGCGGAGGTTGATAGTAAGTGTGTGGTTACTATGATATCGGGGAAAGTGAGTGAACCGTGTGGGGTGCATGGAGCTCTCCTACGATCCATTCGAGACCTCTTGGAACGACCTTGGGTGGTGCAAGTGCTGAATTGTTATCGTGAGGCGAATTTCGTGGCAGATTGTTTGGCTTCGCTAGCCCATTCTTGCCCATCGGGGTGTCAACGTCTTAGGGTACCGCCGCTAGAGGTCCAATCGTGGCTTCTGCATGACGTCGTCGGCGTCGCTTATCCACGAGCAACTACGATCTAGAGGATTCTAGGCTCTGGCCTCCTTTTATTTACCAAAAAAAAAAAAAGTTCNAAATCCTTTGAAAACTTCCATAGAAAAACACCCCCTTTTTTCTTAAAAAAAAAAAAAAGAAAAAAATAAAAATAGCAAAACTGGAGAACAAAAATTAAACTGAGAATTATTAATCTATTCATTCTCTCGAGCAATCAATCATCAGAATTCCTCAAATCATTATAGGAAGTTTCATCTCCTTGTGTTAGATTAGCTTGGCCTTCAATTGGATTATCCTCCTATTTTGAGCCCGAAACCCACTCACTCCGTCGATCAATTTGAAAAACAGCCCACAAAACCCTCAGGCTCGTAAATTCCCTTTATCAATTCGGTGTTTGGAGGTTCAACTGTAGACTTGTGTTCCCGGATTTCTCAAAGGATGAGCGGACAGAAGAAGAGGAATTTTCAGATTGAAGCGTTTAAACACAAAGTGGTGGTGGATCCCAAGTATGCGGACAAGACTTGGAAGATTCTCGAGCATGCGATTCATGAGATTTATAATCACAATGCTAGCGGACTAAGCTTTGAAGAATTATACAGGTTTTGACGATCTATTGTTGTTGCTCAATTTAAGTTCGGATGGCTTCTATATCTGTGATGTTTAGTTTTGTGGAGGTTTTATCTGGGGCAAGATTTTGGAGATGGTTTAATTGGGAAAGTGTATGTTGTCTATTTGTTTCGAATTATTATCTGGTAGGTGCTGATTAGTTTGTTTCCTTATCTAGCTCTATTGAATTTAAGCTTTGGTACTGTGTTGATGTTTGATGTAGAGCTTCATTTTCATGTGAGCCAATGGTTTCACACCTGTTCAGTTGCTGTGTTGAAGATTACTAACTAAATAGGTTTCTGAGGTGGAATTTCTCACCTCATTGAAACCAATGTTTTGTTGAAATTGAGTTCATTTACATGCATATGGGGCTTAAGCTAGGTCGTTGAAACCTGTTGTAACTTCCGGTGAGCGTCTTGTTTGTATCACTTAATGTGGGGCATGCATTGGTATTATAAGTTTTTGAGATTCTGTACGTTTTATTATCTTCTCCTTCTGATAATGAATGTGGTGGCGTGTGTAAACAGTTTCATGATTTTTTTTTTTCTTTTATCCTCTTTTAGTGAGCTTACAAACACATTTTTTAAATTTGGAAAGGTTGTTTATAGCATCTGACTGATTGCATATATGACACGGACTCGAAGTAATAACTAATAAGTATGCAGTATCTGGTTGTGATGTGTGTTTTCAGCCGTTATTCTTGTGATTTACTATGAACAAAAGTGTGTTGTGTTTGCCCAAGTGGAAATGGAGAAAGGTTGATGGAAATACGTGGAAAATGATTTTACTTGAAATGGATAGTGGGCTGCTAAGTTATGCTGAAATGCTTGCGTATTCATTTGAAGTATCACTGAGGTGCACAAAATGCATTATTTCCTTTTTAAGTTTCCAGTGGTCATCTTACCTTTAAAAATTTTAATGCTTACAACTCCGGGGAAATTTGTTCTTCCATTAAGATTTTATGTTTAAAAAATTTGCACTATGCCAGCTCAAAGCCGATCAAGTATAATCTTGACATGAATTGTAATAATTTGTTCACCTTGTGGTGGTAAATTGGTTTCATTTGGAGATATTGATACATGCTACAACTACAATACCCCCACTAATCCTACCTTCTACATTTAATTATCATCTTAGTAGAGAGATATTTTTCTTGTGGCGCTTTTTGTTTTCGCAGTTTACCCAAATGGTTGCTCATGCTTTGGATGGTTTGTTATAGTGGCGAATTGCCTTTTTCTTTTTGCCTTTTCAAGTACGCTGGCTTTATTACCTGCTTATAATTTGGCAATTCTTGTTAATGGCAAGATACAAACATGTCACTCATTTTACATTTTGATAAAATTTGTTTATTTTTATTTTTATTTATTTATTTATTTTTCTAGTTGCCAACATTGCGTTTATGATGGTATGTTTGGATTGTAACATATTGACTTATGTCGACTATGAGCCTGATGACCTACAGTGAGAGCCTTAGCTTGTAATTATGAATCGTACCACATTAATTATTCAGCTTCAGGCCAGAAACTTCCCCTGAAGATTCATGATAATATGGAAAAATGTGAAGAATCTGGATATGGTTTATACTTTATACTTCCTAGCTAATTGGTGGTTCAGTATGTTCATTACGTATGAATCAGTGATGTGAAGTTAGGTTCTTCTGTTTCTCATATCGGCCAATTCTACATTTGTTCACTACAATGGCTGTCTTCTCTAATCAATTTTTCTCTCTCCCTCTTTTGCATCCAGAAACGCTTACAATATGGTACTGCACAAATTCGGGGAGAAGCTCTACTCAGGCCTAGTCTCGACCATGACCCTCCATCTCCAAACAATGTCCAAATCCATCGAGGCTGCCCAGGGCCCACTATTCCTCGACGAGCTCAATTCAAAATGGAACGACCACAACAAGTCCCTTCAGATGATCCGAGACATCCTCATGTACATGGACAGGACCTTCATCCCGAGCACCCGCAAGACTCCCGTCCACGAGCTCGGCCTCAACCTCTGGCGTGACAACGTCGTCCACTCCGCCAAAATCCAGCCGCGCCTTCTCAACACAATCCTCGACCTCATACTCCGTGAGCGCTCGGGTGAGGTTATCAACCGAGGCCTCATGCGTAACATCATCAAGATGCTAATGGACCTCGGGCCCGCGGTCTACCAGGACGATTTCGAACGGGCCTTCCTCGATGTCTCGGCAGACTTCTACCGGGCCGAGTCCCAGGAGTTCATCGAGTGCAGCGACTGCGGAAACTACCTCAAGAAAGCCGAGAGGCGTCTGATGGAAGAAATCGACAGGGTGTCTCACTACTTGGACGCGAGGAGCGAGGCTAAAATCACGAACGTGGTTGAAAAAGAGATGATAGCCAACCACATGCTGAGGCTCGTCCACATGGAGAATTCGGGCCTCGTGAAGATGCTCCTCGACAACAAAATCGAGGACTTGGGGCGTATGTACGTTTTATTCCGCCGGGTTCCCGACGGCCTCTCGACTATCCGCGACGTGATGACGTCGCACGTACGAGAAACGGGCAAACAGCTCGTGACGGACCCCGAGAAGTCGAAGAGCCCCGTGGATTTCGTCGACACACTCCTGAAGAAACGAGACAAGTACGACCTCGTCATAACGTGCGCGTTCGCCAACGACAAGACCTTTCAGAACGCGCTCGGTTCGTCGTTCGAGTATTTTATCAATTTGAACCCTCGATCGCCCGAGTACGTGTCGCTGTTCGTGGACGACAAGCTGCGCAAGGGGCTGAAGGGAGTGAAGGAGGAGGACATCGAGACGGTGCTCGACAAGGTGATGATACTGTTCAGGTACCTCCAGGAGAAGGACGTTTTCGAAAAGTACTACAAACAGCACCTCGCGAAACGGCTGCTCTCGGGGAAAACGGTGTCCGACGACGCGGAGAGGAGCCTGATCGTGAAGCTGAAGACGGAGTGCGGGTACCAGTTCACGTCGAAGCTCGAGGGAATGTTCACGGACATGAAGACATCACAGGACACGATGCAGGGGTTTTACGGGGCCCACGGGCCAGAGCTTGGAAGCTCCCCGACTCTTGTTGTCCAGGTGCTGACGACTGGGTCATGGCCCACGCAGACGAGCCAGACGTGCAATTTGCCGTATGAGCTGTCGACGCTGTGCGAGAAATTTCGGTCGTATTATCTCGGGACCCACACGGGCCGGAGGCTGACGTGGCAGACGAACATGGGGACGGCCGATTTACGGGCGACTTTCGGGAACGGGCAAAAGTACGAGCTGAACGTGTCGACTTATCAAATGTGTGTGTTGATGCTTTTCAACAATACGGATCGACTCACGTATAGGGAAATCGAGCAGGCGACTGAGATAACAGCGTCGGATTTAAAACGGTGCCTGCAGTCGTTGGCTTGCGTGAAGGGCAAAAACGTGCTGCGCAAGGAACCGATGAGCAGGGATATAGGTGAGGAAGATGCGTTTTCTGTGAATGATAATTTTGCGAGTAAGCTCAGAAAGGTGAAGATCGGGACTGTGGTGGCGCAGAAGGAGTCGGAGCCCGAGAAGCAGGAGACGAGGCAGAGAGTGGAGGAGGACAGGAAGCCGCAGATCGAGGCTGCCATTGTTAGGATTATGAAGTCGAGAAGGGTTTTGGATCATAATAATATTATTGCCGAGGTTACTAAGCAGTTACAGTCGAGGTTTTTGGCTAATCCTGGGGAGATCAAGAAACGGATTGAGTCGCTTATCGAGCGGGATTTCTTGGAGAGGGATGACGTGGATAGAAGGTTATATCGTTATCTTGCGTGATTTGATTTGGTTTGCCTGTTTTACATTTTTATTTTTTATTTTTTTGGGCTCCATTGAAGAGCGACTAGTGGATTATTACAGATATTTCGTTTGTTTTTGTGTCTGGAAGATATATTTGTTGGTATCAAGCTTTTTATTGCGTATATCTCTTATTGGCACCGACCTGTGTCGTATTCGTGTTGGTATTATTGCAGTATTATCCTCGCGTTGAACTCCATGATTAAATCAAGTAAGAAAGTAGAATGTGGCTCATTTAGATTTAGTAAGATAAATAAGTCTTTTGTTGGGAACCTTGGTCGTCTAGTGTGATCTTTCAATTTGGTTCGGGTGTTGTTCATTGGCTGCAACTATTTGAGGCCGAGCTTTAAACAGATCGATTGTGATTTATCAAGAAGATGGTTCTTGATAATAAAGAGACTTTTGCTTCACAATATTTTGTACGCTTGAAGTGGCAAACATGTCAAGGTTGTGTTGAGTGTTATCTAAACAAGTTGGGTAACATGTGGTTCGATCGATTGAAGTTGGACAGTGAGGAACCGTTTGTAAAACTAGCGAGGGGCAAAAATGAGCTTGATATTAATTGATTTATTTGAAGTTCTATATAAAATGAACTTATTGATTTATTTGAAGTTCTATATAAAATAAACTTATGTACTGAGAGAGTAGGTATCATTTTATCATTTCAATATAAATAGGTACTGCTTAAATTATAAAAGGATAATGTATTCGTTACAAAGTAGTACAACGAATTTTGAACTGAAATGAATTCAGTGACATTCTTTTTTTTTTTAAAACAAAGGTGGTGATATTTTAACTCCTATGTTGTCTCAACATAGCAGGTCTCAAGCCCTGATAAAGGAGGAGGATTGTGATAGGCTTGGCGAGCCAACATAAAACCTAGCCGTTCTATGGAGATGAAACACATGAGAAATTCGTTGGGGCGTAACCCTCTTAGCGACGCGCTATATCGGAACCCGGTTATGGTGTCAAATGGGCAAGAGCCGGGTCGTCTCCCCCTTGGGGACGCGTCATGTCGTGGTTTGGGCATGGTGTTAAGTGAGCAAGGACCGGGTCGTCATTTCCTTAGTGGCGCGCTACATCGGCGCCCGAGTGTAGTGAAAAATGAGCAAGGGTCTTCGCATCTCTCTCGACGGGTGCGAAGGGCAAGGAAGCTAGTCGAACCAACTAAGGTCCGTATAGGTAGCTGGAACGTAGGGTCCTTAACGAGTAAACTATGTGAGCTAGTCGATGCAGCTACTAGGAGGCGTGTAAATATCCTATGCGTCCAGGAGACAAAATGGAAGGGACAGAAGGCGAAGGAGGTGGAGGATACTGGCTTCAAGCTTTGGTTCACTGGGGCTTCATCGAGTAGGAATGGTGTAGGCATCTTGATCGATAGGAGCCTTAAGGATGGAGTTGTCGATGTTAGAAGGCAACGCGACCGGATTATCCTAGTCTGATTGGTAGTTGGAGATTTGACCATGAATGTGATCAGTGCCTATGTCCCTCAGGTAGGTCTTAGTGAGAGCGTAAAGAGGCAATTCTGGGAGGACCTGGATGCCTTGGTTAGTACGGTGCCTGCCAGCGAGAAGCTCTTTGTAGGAGGGGACCTAAACGGCCACGTGGGTGCGACTAAGGTAGGTTTCGAGAGAGTGCACGGAGGGTTTGGGTATGGTAGTAGAGTCGAAGAGGGGGAGGGTGTGTTGGACTTTGCGATGGCCTACGACTTGTTGATAGCGAACACCCTCTTTAGGAAGAGGGAATCTCACCTGGTGACCTTCCATAGTGGACGACACTCAAGTCAGATCGACTTTATCCTTGCAAGGAGGGAGGATAGAAGCGCTTTCGTAGATTGTAAGGTGATACCTGGGGAGTGTGTTGTCCCCCAGCATAAGCTGGTGGTGGCGGATTTTCGATTCCGAACACGTGTCCACCGGAACAAATGTGCCAAGACCGTGAGAACGAAGTGGTGGAAGCTTAAAGGGGAAGCGGCGCAGACGTTTAGGGATAGGATGCTAGGTGAGGGGCCTTGGGAAGAAGGAGAAGATGCAGAGGACATGTGGCTAAAGATGGCAACATGTGTACGGAAGGTGGCTGCAGAAGTCCTTGGTGTGAGTAGGGGAGGCAAGCAGGAAGCGAAGGACTCTTGGTGGTGGAATGACGAGGTGCAAAGGGCTATTCAGGAGAAAAAGGAGTGTTTCAAGCGCCTCCACCTTGACAAGAGTGCAACCAACATTGAGAGCTATAAAATAGCGAGAAGGGATGCAAAGCGTGCCGTGAGTGTAGCGAAGGGTCAGGCCTATGATGACCTTTATCAGCGCCTAGGCACGAAGGAGGGGGAGAAGGACATTTATAGGATGGCTAAGATTCGGGAGAGGAAGACAAGGGACATCAACCAAATCAAATGCATTAAGGATGGGTTGGATCAGCCACTGGTGAAGGATGGGGAGATCAAGGACAGATGGCGAGAGTACTTCGACAAATTGTTTAATGGAGAGAGTGAAGGTCCTACCTTGGAGTTGGATGACTCATTTGAGGATACCAATAGACGCGTGGTGAGAAGAATTCGGGAGGCAGAGATCGGAGAGGCTATGAAGAGGATGAAGGGAGGTAAAGCAATGGGCCCTGATGGTATCCCCATTGAGGTGTGGAGATGCTTGGGCGCCAAAGCGTTAGCATGGCTAACTAAACTTTTTAACCTCATTTTCCGGTCAAACAAGATGCCTGATGAATGGAGGAGAAGTACTTTAATACCGATCTTCAAGAACAAGGGAGATGTTCAAAGCTGTGGTAACTACCGTGGGATTAAGTTGATGAGCCATACGATGAAGCTCTGGGAGAGGACTATCGAGCATCGCCTACGACGAGTGACGAGTGTGACCCAAAACCAATTTGGGTTCATGCCTGGAAGGTCGACCATGGAGGCGATTTTCCTAATACGTCAGTTGACGGAGAGATATAGGGACCAAAAGAAGAACTTGCACATGGTCTTTATCGACCTTGAGAAGGCTTATGACAGAGTACCGAGAAATGTCATGTGGTGGGCCTTAGAAAAGCACAAAGTCCCATCTAAGTACATTACCCTCATCAAGGATATACACAAGGATGCGATGACGTGTGTCCGAACATGTGGGGGCGACACCAGCGACTTCCCAATTAAAATAGGACTACACTAGGGGTCAGCATTGAGCCCTTATCTATTTGCCTAGGTGATGGATGAGGTCTCAAGGGATATACAAGGTGATATCCCTTGGTGTATGTTCTTTGTTGATGATGTGGTGCTAGTTGACGAGAGTAGAGCAGGGGTAAATAGGAAGTTGGAGCTGTGGAAGGACGCGTTAGAGTCGAAAGGCTTCAGACTTAGTAGGACGAAGACCGAGTACATGACGTGCGCTTTCAGCATGGCTTCACACGATGATGGTGACGTTACCCTTGACGGGCAAGTGGTGGCCAAAAAGGAGACTTTCCGGTATTTGGGATCGATGCTACAAAAGGATGGCGGCATTGATGCTGATGTTAGGCATAGAATTGCAGCCGGTTGGTTGAAATGGCGTCAGGCGTCGGGCGCTCTCTGTGATAAGAAGGTGCCACAAAGGCTAAAAGGTAAGTTCTATAGGACGGCGATTCGTCCGGCGATGCTATACGGTGCTGAATGTTGGCCTACAAAAAGGCAACATGTCCAACAACTAAGTGTAGCAGAGATGCGTATGTTGCGTTGGTTCTGCGGGCACACAAGAAGGGATAGAGTCCGTAATGAGGATATTCGAGATAGGGTCGGGGTGGCTCCAATTGAGGAGAAATTGGTTCAACATCGGCTGAGGTGGTTCGGACATGTCCAACGGAGGCCTTCTGATGCACCGGTGCGTACGGGAGTTCTACAGCGGGTCGAGGATGTTAAGAGAGGTAGAGGTCGGCCTAAACTCATGGGAAGAGTCGGCTAAGAGTGACCTTAAAGATTAGAATATCTTCAAGGATTTAGCGGTGGATAGGAGCGTTTGGAGGTTCGCTATCAACGTGCCAGAACCGTGACTTTTGCTCCTTTCTCTCTCTCGTTTTTTTTTTTTTTTTTTTTTTCGATATCTTCCTTTTGGTTCGAGTCTTTTTGTGTTTCCCTTGGGTTTCATCTTTAGCCAACCCCGACTTGCTTGAGACTAAAGACTATGATGTTGTTGATGTTGAAAGGTGGTGATACTTTAATGTAAGTGGAAGGAGTATACTATTACCTACAAAAATAATACCTTGAAATTTGAGGACTAAAAGAGAATTATCGAATGGTCCCAAAATGAAATAACTATATCCGGTATCCCGGTAAGTTCGATTTTAGGGGATTTATAAGCGCACTTAGATATGAGAGTACGTCCCGTGATCACTACGAAAGAAGGAATTAATCCTATATCCCGCTTCACGATAGGCGCGAAACCGAAATTCATTGCTCCATTTTTCAACGCGCGCCAAGATTCCAAAAATTTCCCGCAAGAAATCCACAATCCCGCCATAAATCATTCATCAAAAAATGATTCTCTGTCCCCAACACCCAAAACCTACACAGAATTTCATTTTTCCGAAGAACACAGCAAGGAAAAGGGGGCGAAAAATATCAATTTGTCGGAAAAATGGACATGTCGGGGATAGCCAATAAACTGGGCCTTTCCGGGTCCAAACACCTCATACGTAAGGCCGCTGAGCTCCGCCGCCTTGCAGATATCCAATTCGATTCCTCCATCATCGGCGTTGTAGGTTTTTACAGATTCATATAAACAAACTCGTGTTGATTTTGTGTTCTACTGTAATTTTTGCACTGTCAACTGAGTCGACATATCTTTGTTGATTGATTATCAGGGTGAAATTTGCAAGGCCGTAATTTGCCTGGAGATTGCTGCTTCCAGGTATCTATTTTGATCTTCACGCATTCGTTGTGTTTTTCTATTGCTTGACCATTTGTTTTAGAGTTTTGGTCTGAAATTTTAATTGATTGAATGCTGGCGAATTTTATTGGATTAGGATGGAAGTTATATTTGATCGGCAAGCTGCAATAAGACTGAGTGGGGTGTCTGAGAAGGCTTATAATAGGTCCTTCAACTCAATGCAGAATGGCATTGGTCTCAAGTCAGTAGTAATTCTCCTTTTGTTGTTTCATTTTTTGTAACATTTATTTCTAAAACTATCAATGTCATTATTTTGTACTTATATTTCTTTTGATCGTTTATTGGATTAGAAACAAGCTTGATATAAGAGAATTGGCCATTCAATTTGGGTGCGTGCGACTCATCCCTTTTGTGCACAAAGGCATGTCATGGTAAGTGTTCATCCCTCAATTAAATTGTAGGATCAATTTGGAATAGTTATATTTAAGTATTGGAACTTAGATCTACAATCCTTTAGAATAGGTAATTAGTTAATTTAAGATCGTATACTATGTTGAATTTGATCAAATATTTGTTACTGGATGTTGTATGCCTGAGTTAGTTTTGAATGCATTGTTTAGATATTTTCACATCTGGTGTCCAAATGCAATACATAACTGCTCTGTGTTTAATTATGCCACAATCTTGTGAATGTGGTGTCTAATTTGAGTAAATTATAAGACGCTACAGATAATGGACTAGGATATCTTGTGTGCTCAGTCCGGTTGGTTTTTGTATTATCCTTTTACAAATGATTCTAATAGATGAATCACGAGTTCTCTTACTTTTTATTATAATTAACAATTTTAGTTGTTAATTGTATTTTTCAGGTACAAGGAAAGATTTCTTGCTTCATTGCCATCTTCACGTAGAAGTGGCACGGATTTCAGCCGGCCAGTTTTCACTGCTGTGGCATTTTACCTTTGTGCCAAAAAACATAAGGTGAGAAAGTTTTATTACTGGTATTTATCACTATTAATTCACTTGGTATTTGGTAACTCAGAAATGAGTATTTATTGGATGTATTCTGATATATTTGTTTTGTGCAGCTCAAGGTTGACAAATTTAAGTTGATCGAGCTTGCAGGCACTTCTGAATCAGAATTTTCTAATGTAAGTCTATATATTATAAGCAAGGCTTATATTATGTGAAACTTGGAAGATCTCTTTTTTTTTTTTACTCTAGTACCAATTTATTGGTGTAATTTTAGGTATCTACATCAATGATGGACTTATGCTTTGATGCTTTTGGGATAGCTAAGGAAAAGAAGGATCCNGTTGTGGTAGTAATCTCACTCCATGTTCACATACTTAATACTGTTATTTTGATAGTGCCAAAAATTATCCTGGATTAGCATGTATGTGGGCACATTCCAATTTAGGTGCTTCATATAATTCAAAGATTCCTTAAGTAAAAAAAATTAAATGATGGATTTTCTCTAATTTTTCTCATGGGCATATGTAGAGCTTCTTGATGTATTGCCCGAAAAAAGGAGACTCGAGTATGGTAGCTGTTCTGATGATGATGGGGAGGTAATATCATCTGATTTGTGTGCTTTGAACGTGAAACTCTATTTTTACATTACCAATAAAAATATTTATCCTATTCTAGATTAGAATTTTGTGAGGGAAAAATGTTTTAGCTACGAAATGTATAACACTAGCTGACTGGAATTTGAATGTCATGTCCAAGAAATGTTAAAAAACCAGTTGATTTTGGGATGTATGTATGCATGTTCAGTTTCTTTGCCGAGTGCATTAATGTTCTACATACTGAATGACTGAAATTGATTTACTATCTGCTCTGCAGCCTTCTGCTTACAAAAAACACAAGCAAATGGAGAAACAAGACCATGATGAATGGAAATCTGCTGTTCTTAAATCTAATAAACTCGCCAAAACGGATGGTATGTAGAATATAATCCTTTCATGTCTTCAATTTCTATGAAATTTCACTTATTAGTTCCAATCTTAATGAGTGATGACAAACATGTGATTTTTAATATTTTTACAGCTCTTGCTAAGGGGTCCAAACTCAAACAAGGGACACTTGATTTTCTAAAGAGGAGTATTTCTGAAACAACAGCTGAAGCTTCGTGACAACTCTTTTGCAAGATTTTTAATGCTATTAACACATTCTAAATTCTATTAATTTTTTTCTTGGTTTTGCCCAAGTTGGAGGTGTTAATGATATGCTAAAATGGAAATGTGAAATGAAAAGTTGAATTTATTGGTGTTAAATTTTGTTTTAGATTAATTGAATATGATTAGATTTACTTTATTAGGAAATGGTATAGGCATGCACAATTATCCATTTGGACCTTTTAGCTACCTTTTCTTTTAGGTTTCAGCATGTACAATGTTGATTATGGTATTCTTGTGGAGTAGATTTGTAAATGAGTTGAGTGAAGTTGAACATTGTTTTTATTTAGCCATGCTTTATTTTTTATTTTTTGACTCTTGCTTGAGCTTGATGAGTCCATCACGACGACTA